GGGAATCGAACTCATGCGGAAGTGGCTTAAGTTTCTTAGTGCTTTAACCCGCTGCGCCACCAGGGAGGGCCCTGAGGAGCCTTCTTTGATGAAACCCATAGGACCTTCAGGACTTACCTGGGAGCACAGATGGGTAGGCCTCGCCTAGTCCAGGACAACTGGGCAGGCTTCACAGTCACACACTTGCCCAGAGCTTCCCCACTGACTCTTGGTTACTTGGGTCTCACTTCTAGGTTCTCCACATGTGGATAGTCCCAGGCAGCAGTGACTGTAGGAAGCAGGTAATACTTCATCGTCCTGATCCAGGACCATGGACAGCTAGAACCCTGGCTCCAGCAGTTGTTTGTGTGAAGTAGGGAGAGTTTTTGCCCCTCTCTGCTTCAGTTCCTCCTCCATAGAATGGTAATGACAGTGTCCATAGAATGGCAATGACAGTGTCCTAAATTTCCTTTATTTCCTGTGGGACAAAATGAGCTAAAATTAACACAAAATAATTGGTTTGAGATCCATGAATTGCTAGCTATTATCACTGTTATTTTTCAAAAGCCATATCAAATACTTCCTCCTCCATGGAGACTTCCTGAACTTCTCCATGGATGAATGACTAAAAAACATTCTTTCTCTTTGATCTCTGAAGAACTAGTCATGTCTTTTTACCTTGGGGTTGAGATCCCTGGGGCCCCACCATCGCCAAATCTAAGGCAACCCAAAAAAGGGAAGAAACAGATTTACATCTAGTTTATGATTGCATCTATCAAGGCAGGCTTCCCTGGAGGCAGTGGAGGTGGGAGCTAATGGAGGGATGCTGTGAAATTGAACTTGAACAAAGGATGGGTGTGAGAAAACCTCATGCCTCAAAGGCAAAGAAAAGAAGACAAACATCCTCCAAAAGATCTGAAGTTCAATCCATTCTTACATAGGCACTTTGTGTGAGCTTTGCTAATCTGTGTTGTTTTCTGAGCATTGATTTTATTGGTTCATGCTATTTGTCTTATTCCGTTATTCCATTTTTTCCCTCTCAGGAGGAGGTGTTTAATTATGTTGCTGTGAATACATTTACCTGGCCCCCTGCTTCATACGTAGTAGCACAGTACCACATTTAATCCATCTACTTCCCCAGGACGCTAAGATTGCCTCCAATCACAGAACAAATCACAGAACAAACACATAGCAGCAGACCTCCTCTGACATGTCCCTCGGAGCCTGTAAGATCAGAGCTGGATTTTAGGACCACCATTCTCTGTGTTTACTTTCCCTCATGAGGGCCAGGCTATTTTCCTGAATAGCTCTCCCAGACTATGCCCACCAGCTGTGTACTGGCTGTGTGAGCCCCACACCCCCTTCCAACCTCTTCCCCCCAGCATTTGGCATTATTCAGCTCTCTATTTTTGCCAGTTTAATTGGTGTGATATCTCATTGTCATTTTTTTAAGGTTTATTTATTTATTTATACAGAACTGGGGTATGGTCCAGGGGTGCAGAGGATTCACCAGAGACAGAGTGGGGAGCACAACAGGCAGATCAACAAAGTACACTGCTGAGGGGAGCAATGGGCGGTCGGGTCAGGGTAGGTCTGCTGCACCATGTGGGTCACCTCGGGGTCGGGATCAAACTCACACTGAGGCAGCTGTGGCCAGCTTGCAGTGCTTCGTCCTAACAGTTGTGCCACCAGGGAAGGCCCTCACTGCCATTTTAATTTGTATTTTTCTTATCACATATAATGTGATCCTCCCTTCTTATGCTTTCAGGCCGAGTGGGTTTCTCTTTTCAAACGCCTGCTCAAGTCCTTGTGGTCTGATTTTGGGGGCCTGGGGGCAGCTGAATCAGCGTCCTGAGTCCTCCTGGAGGACCTGAATGACAGTCCAAGGCCCAGTGACGTAACAGCCCCCAGAGAATACTCACCCGGTGTGGGGTGTGGCCGCGACCTCTGGACTCTGCTGTGAAAGCCCGCCCGTGAGCAGGTCAAGCTAGCCAGAAGGGACCTGCAGCAGCTCAGCGATGCCAGAGGCTGCAACAGCTCCCCCACTGCTGTCTGGGGGGCCTGGGCAGAGGGAGGGGTCTGTAAGGGTAGCCCCTAACCCGGAGCGCTCTCGGGAACCTCCCCCGCCCCGCCCCCAGCTCAGCACCCCCTTCCCTGGGCTCCCCCAGCCGGGCTCAGGCGGTTGCTGTAGTCGCCGCCGAGGGTGGACGCGCACTCAGCGGCTGCAGAGCCGGCGGGATGGAGGAGGAGCTGGCGGGCGAGACTGATGGCCGTGAGTGCGCGCGGGCCCGGGGCTGAGAAGGGCTGGCGGTCGCGGGCAGAGGCGGGGAGAACCAGCCCCCCATCCCGCCCGGCCATCATCTGGGGGGAGATCAAGGCTGCGGGTGGCGCGGTCCCTTGGCTACCTCCGTTTAGAGAGAGGAACGCGCTCCGGGAGGAAGGGACCTCGGTTTCTCGTGTGGGACTCGGGGGGCGCCACCCGCTCGAAGAGCTGGGAGCTGTGCTGTGGAGGCTTTAGCTAGAAATTAGGTAGTAAAGCGACCCTTTGTCGTGCGCTTCCTTTGTACTTTGTGAGCCGGCCGAGCCTAGACAAGCACGGATTTTGATCTTCACAGCAGCGCTATGGGTGGAAAAGATTGTTAGCGCCATTTTGCAGAAGAGAAAGCTGAGGCACGGGATGGTTAAATAAATGGCTCAAGGTCACACAGCAGCGGCTGAATGCACACCAGTTGGCAATGGCCCACTGGGGAGTTGGCCCTACTGACTGGGGGAGGGGAAAGAGGGATTGTCCTCATGGGCTGAAGTGGAATTAGGGTTGGGGACTCATGGAGATGCTGTTTTTGAAAGATACAGGATTCTGCTTGGGACATTGGCTTCCTTTAGTTGCTCCTTAAAGAATGTGCAGCAGTGGCATTTTGGGGTGTGTGTGGGGAACTCTGGGCAAAGGCTCAGAGATCAGAATATAGTGAGTATTTGTTGTGGCAGGACAGATGGTGTATGTGTTGAGGTGGTGGGAAGAGATGAGACTGGACTTGATTTCTTCTTCTTTTATAAAGTTTTATTTATTTATGCATACAGAACTGGGATACAGGCCAGAGGTGCAGGGGCAGTGAGAGGATTCACCAGAGACAGAGTGGGGAGC